TAGTGTTTCATGGAGTGGCAGTAGCCTGCGGTCTTTTCTGAACTTCTTCTTGGCTTAAGTGTTGTAGAACATGAAGCGGGATGTCTGAATTTAAACTGAGGATATAGAGTAAAATCATGTTAGGCGTATCAGCAAAATCTACAATCACTTTAATAAACACACCATTTTTGACGATGTTCATTTCAGACTGGGGGCTCTGGAAACTGTTTGATTTTGTATCGTGCCTGAAGAAATCGATAACATGTCCATTTTGACCAGATTAGTAAAAAAGACAGAAAGTAACTTAGTGATTAAACGGTCATCTCTGAATTGTATCGCACTCGCCTCGTACCAAAACGAAAAACAAGGACATATGAGTTCTTCTCGCGTTTCCATCACCGTGAAGATATAGGTTCACCCTCATTTTGTATTCTCTAGGTGATGACTAGAATGCTGATGAGTGGTAGCCGTTCTGACTGTGCATCTGCCATTTTATTCGATACATCAGTGATTTTCCAAACTGAAGTCCCATCATACGATGGAACTTCAATGTGATCCATCTGTTCCTTCAAACTCGATAATTCTTGTTGCAATATTTCTTGAATCGGTTCAATAGCTGCCAGATACAAGTCCTTTTCTGCTAATGATATTCTCATCTTTGACAGTCTATTAAAAAGTGATTGAATCATAGTATTATTTCTCCGAGACTCCGAACTTAATCTGTCCGTGTCTATATACGTAGTGTTTCAACGCCCTGTGTCAAAATGGTCAACGTTTCATAACATTTTTGTTGTTGTCGATACAAATCATTTACTTGCTGATAACTGTCTAAATTCATATTAATGTCTTCTTCTATGATTGAATTAAAGTTTGTAATTTTAGGAGAAAGAGTTGTAGAATTCGTTGATGTGATTCAGCTAAATAATAACTTTCCAGTTGTGATCTGACAACCTGAATGGTAGAGTAAGAAATTAAGTAGTCAATATTTCTATTCAGTAGCCCTTCTAGAAGAACGAAGATGTCTTACTGTTTGGAATATTAAGAGTATAAGAATATGTATTTTTTAAATACACTTACCTTATCGGAACATCCATGAGACGCCAGTGGACAAGATACTGATACACTAAGGCATATATTTTTAAGTTTGTCTAACATCGAAGTTATTACGAATTTTTCACCGCATAATTCACACATATGACTTGACTGACATTCATCAAGATGTTTCTAAATGCGTAAAAGATACAGATGATAAACCATCGATACACTCTTTTTCAGAATAAGCTGAGAAGACAGCCCCTTATGTTTATGATAAAGTTCGTAAGCTCTAGAGCTTTACTTGATAATCTTTTATTTTACCCGTTGCATTGCAACTATTGATTTGTTTAATGCATTGCACGTGTAATTCACTTACCTCGCATTTGAAACCTTTGTCAGGTATTGGCTAAACAAAAGACTTTTTAGATTATCATCCGAAATAGATCAGGCTTACTTATGTTCTGATTCGCTGCTTCTTCAAATCACTGAGAGCAGCTGAACGTTCTGCCTTGCCTAGAAAATAAAAAGTTTTTAATATCACAATTAAATCTACAACTACTCTAAGAAATCCCTTTCCAACTACTTAGCTTCTCTACAAAGTCTTTCTTATTGATAAAACGGTATCGTCCCGATTCGTCGACAAATCGGACACTTCAAAGAATGTACATCAAAGAATTTCAAAGGCGGGAGGGGCGGTGTGAGAGTGAGTGTCGACGAATCGGGACTGAATCGATAAAACAGGAAAAGAATGTATGCTTGTCCACAGATTACTTTAATGGATAAAATAAGAAAAGACATGTTATAAAAGAGAGAAAAGCTTTTTAATTTTTCTTAATTGGTAAGAAAAGAATTTGAAAATAACTGATGGTTGATGATGAAAAGAGAAAAAACGATAGGCTAGCGAACAAGAAAATGCAATGCCTTTATTACGTTGCTGTACTACCAGCCGTGACCAAATAGACCAAATAAGTTAGTCTATTTGGTCTATTCAACTATGTCTAATATAAGAGTTTATGGTTCATATTGTAAAAAAGGTTTCGCGTATGCTCTCGCTTGACTTTCAAATGTTTCGTATAGTTCAGAGTAAATTCGGTGCTTTTACTAAAGAAAATGATGTTTCAAAATTTATCAAAACAATAAAATGTTAGTATAAAACGTAGTAAATAACCCAGAACTTGACCCGGCTCAGGCCAAGAACAAAAGCTAGAGACCCGAGTCCGGTCCGACCTTTTTCAGTTGTTTAGAGTCTCTTGTATTTTTTTTAACGCTAATATGCTTGATTGACAACTTGCTATAAATGTAGTTCTAACACAACTCTATATCAGTTAAATTCTCACAAATTTTTTCAATCTTTGTATGCACTAGATAACCTGTTTATTCAGTTACATATTAGGAAAAGAAATATTAAAATATTCATCACGAACATGTTTATGCAAAATTTAAGTTTTAATATAAATAAACAATATGTTATGTACGTTCTTTTTCGACGTGCACGGCCATTCCACGCGTACTAGCCAGAAAATGTAAGTCCGTTACGTTTTGTGAAAGTCATAGCTCGTCAGTCGAGCAACGTGTACAGTTGGGGAACACCTTATTTTGTAGCTTAAAGATTTTTCTTTCAAATGGGAATTAAGCAAAGTCTAGCTCTACCCTAAGGACCTGCTCCTAATTCGTGTTAATAAAACCATTTTGCACGAAAGTGGCGCACAGCAAAAACATTATGTTACCTAAACTAACAGACTGGTAGACTTCGCTTAATTACTATTTGAAAGAAAAGTCTTTATGCTACAAAATAAGACGTTTCCCAACCCTGTACATTGCTCGTCTAAAGAGCTGTTTGTCTCACAAAACGTCACGGACTTACATAAAAAGTGAACTTTTAAGTTACGTGGAATGGCCGTGCAGCAGATATGTACAGAAATATGGCAGACCAAGACATCGATCTGCTATTGGGGAAAAGCGGTTAGGTAATAGTTACTCATTCAATTGATAATATCTTCAAAACCTATATCTCAAGTACTTCGTTGCATACTAAATATTTGGTCGAACCCCCTCTGGTTTTTTACATCATTTTGTAGCCCATGTTGACTTACATATAGGGTGAGCCGTTTGAACCTCAGGTCAGGTTCAAACGTCTGAGGCTCAGACAGATTCGTCCCGTCTTTTTTAACGTTTAAAAGTTTACAGAAATTTATGAGCTTTTTTAAAAAGTTCACCGTTCATTAAAGAAGCATGTTCCAATGATATGACTGGCTTCGATCGATCAAGGACATAGAACTGCCTATATGTTCAAATTACTTCGAACTTTGAATGAAGTTCGGTTAAGAAAAATTTTGTTTTTCCTTGAAATGTCGATTTTCCCGAAAATTGATATTTTTTAAAAGCCTTGCCACTCACTGATTGCGGCTCAACAAAGAAAGATAGACATAAGATTCTGCTGACAAACGCCTTCCATAGATGCCAAATGGGGTACTGAGCGTAATACTTTTTTCAGTGTAACAGAAAAATCCGGAGAAAAATCAAGTTTAAGCATTTAAAATTATTAAAAAACTTAAAATTCAGTTTTTCTCAGTATTTTTCCGTTACACTGAAAAAAGTATTACACTTAGTACCTCATTTGGTACCTAAGAAAGAGTTTTGTCAGTAAAAACTTTTCTCCATTGTGGTTCGTTGAGCCGCAATCTGCAGCAAGGCTCTTAAAAAATAATACTGTTCGTCCCAAGATATAAGACCGGTAGTTGTTTTCTGAATACCTCAAAGATGATAAAAGTTAGAGGCTTACGGTTTCCTGCATTGGAGAGAGGACAGTTTAACCTATATTTTCATAAGCAAAAATGTTTTTTTGTACAAATTTCTGAAATCGATCTTTCAGAGGGTCTCTGGAAAACCAGTTTCTCGGTTAAATATTTTACATAGCAAGCAATCCATTTTTTTCATAGATAGATAGTCCAGAGTGTCTTCTACAAAATAAGATCTAAACGAAGGTTTCACTTTGCTTTGTTCAGAAGCTCTGGACGTTTTTTCCGGAGTCATGGGACTGCTCTATGCTTCATTCTGCGACCTTCTGAAATCGCGAAAACATAGATTATCGAACACGCTGAATCGCGTGGCAACATTAATTTTCAAAAGAAAGTGCAAGAACGGAGTAAAAACCTGTACTAGGTACCCTGTCACCTCAGGAAAACTCTCTTTTATGCACTTTTTGCCGCTCTGTCAAGCGGAATAAGTGCCTACATGCGCTATGACTTTGCTTTATGTGCTAATCCATTGATAGAAAAAAGTGTGTGAATCTGGTAAGATACTCCTTGCCCGGTCGGACCATATTGCCTGTTCGGACAATACATGTTGCTGGAACAGGCAATATGGCTCGATCGGACCAGAAGGCGTGACAACGGCTGACGGACGATCGAAACGGTAATCTACTTGTAAATGTACTTTTTGAAATTGTTTGTTCATTCGATCGAAAACTAAAAGGTTTTGAAGATCTCAATGTTGATGTCCTATTACCGCTGCGTTTCAGTATCGGAGCTCTAAAATCAATGGGTTACATCAAGCGAAATAATACTGAAGAAAAGAAGCGGACAATTATTAGAAAATTGAAAAGATCACAAATAAAAGGTTTACATCAACTTCACTACCTAAAGAATTTCATAGAATTGGGCTATTTCGAGGTTCTATTTGTCAGCACTATTATCCATATACTACCACTTGACTTATATATCCATATTCATATCTACTTGATTAAATATAAAACATATTTATTAAATATCAGTTTCCCTCCTATATGACAATATAGATGAGCAAATAGATATAAATTTAATTGCTATCACATTTATACTTTACCATGATTCTAACAATGAAGTTATATACTCTCTCTTTGACAGCGTTTTAAAGTATGTCAGCTTTATTTACAAGTTCAATTTTATTGAAGTTATACAACATTTAACATTTGAAAGTATTATATAGCGTTATTATTCATCTTTTTATTATTGGACGTATTGAAACCTTAATGCTATTGGCTTACTTTGTATCTGTACTGGTTTCTGTTTTCCTGGATTTTGCAGTTGATGTTTCGCTTTTCGTTTCTTCTCATTTTCATATACCGGATCAATTTTGAAAAAATATCTTAATATATCCATAATGATCACAAATAGACAAACGGTAATGATGGCTCCAATAGCCACAAATCCAAATGATTTTGCTACCCATTCTTTAATAACCAGACTTTGTGATTTATATTGACAATAGGCACCGTCGTACATACTATCATCTAAACATTCACAACGCCATGAATTTACTAACGATACACAAAAACCATTATTTTGACAGGTAATGTTTGAACAATCGTCTATAACTAGTTGACAATTAATACCACTGTAACCTTCAACACAATCACAACGAAAATTAGTCATGTTCACTTCTGAACAACTTCCATTATTCCTACAGAATATACGAGAAAATAAAATAGAATTAATTCATTCTTAAATATTTAACATTTACCAACAAGTGTTTTCTTTACATGGTCTTTCATCATTTTGACAATCGTAGCCAGTATATCCATATATACAGTTGCATGTATAATATAATGGTAATGTATTATTTGGAAAACAGGATGCGTCATTTTGACAAGGATGACTCATTGTACATGCATCCGTTGATATATTGCAGTTAGGACCAATTCCACTACTGTTACAATTACTGACAAAATATGGATTGGTAGTTGTTGTGACCGTTTGGTTTTGTGACGTTGATGTGGATGTATCGAGTTGAGTACTAATTAGAGGGTCAGAGCTAATATCTATATAATAGAACGAACGTAGTTAATTGAATAAGTTTCAGTTGCTTTTGCGACTGAAATGGTACAAAATGGCAGAATCTTCTGTCAATTAATAAAGATAGAATAATCTCTATCAAGCTATGACTGTCTATCAATAAATAATTCTTTTACCTATTTGTGTTGTTGTCGTTGTTGTAGCACTTGATGTTTCTATCAAAAAATTATTTGATAACATTTACTTTTTGGCACACAATACAAATTAACTTCGTTACTATTCCGAGTAGCTTTTTAACATATTAAGCTATGATGATCTATAAATAAATAATTCATTTACCTATTTCTGTTGTTGTTATACTTGATGTTTCAAAAGCCACCGTAGTAATATCGCAATCTAGTGCACTAAACACTTCCCATTCAATTGTAAAATTACCATACATCGCAGCGTACAAAGACTGGGTGGTTTGACTATTAATAGAACGGATAAATAAATAACCTAAAAGATATATATAAAAAGTAAAAGTCTCTCCTTGCTTGTTACGGTCCCTTCAGAAATCTAATTTTATTATCGATCGAGCTAAACAGACTTCATTTTGTTTTGTTATTAAAAGTTTATGTATTTTTCTTCAAATTTGCATGGATGTTAATGAGAATATAAGGGTGCTTTTTTTTTTGTCTTATGGGTTTAACATTGTAGCTATATAAACTTACTCAGACATATAATAGCCGTTGCAAACATCTCTAAAAAGACGTTCTTCTTTCTTCTCTCATACTAAAATGACAGTAATGGTAGAAAAGCTCATTATTTTGAATATTTCCTTCAAAACATTTGCACACGACTTCAATTTATTTTCCTTTTTTCAGATAATTTATTTTTAAAATACTTAAATAGAAAAGTGTTTTCGATAAGGACAGAATAATAATAACAGAATATATGCTCACTTATAATATAAAAAAATTCATTTTCTATTACATGAGTGTATGACAACATCGTATAAGAACCGTAATAAGCTTCTTTAAACTAGAAAAACACATGTGAAAGAGAAAACTTTATTTTTACTCTTGGAGATGTTTTAAGTTAAGTACCATATCACATTAGACACAGAACTATCATTGTTAAGTATCATGATAAATCACAAGCGTTGACGAAATGAATGAGATTCTATTCAGTTTACAGTAATTAATTCAACTTGCTTAACCCTGTACCTACCACCATTGATCTATAAAAGCTGACGGCAACCTAACTAGTAGAATAAAGTAGTGAGTAGTACAATATGTCAATTTCAAGGTTGAATCAAATCAAAGTTGCACCAATGTTGAGCAATACAATGGGTCATCCATGACCCATTGGTAGCGAACAACATGAAAAAACTTCAAAAACAAAAAAACGTACTCTTTTACACTTAGGTTGTTATTTTATAGCAAACATATTTTTATTAGCAATTATATTGAGTATTCATACAACTAAATTTATATACAATACAATTATACAATTAAATTTATTTTTTCTAGATTATTGTTTAGTGTGAAAAGCTACAAAACAGTTATGTTGTGGTTGAATGCATAAATGTAGTTCACATTTAGAACATGTCCATTGCGTTTTCAACTCGCATTTTTCATATTTACAACGTAATCTTGATTTTACAAATTTTGGCCAATGCTCATTACATATCGTCTCTCATTGTGTGTATATTAAGTCACTCTCTGTTTTTGTGTTCAATATCTCTCTCTCATTCTTAATATTACCATCACTCTCCTTTTGTGTTCTGCAATATATATTCGTTGTACAGCACTTACATTGGAGTCTATTGTATAATAAACTCAGTAAATGATAGAATTACTTATTTTTGTTTTTGACAATCTTTTATTTGGCGCTTTTAAATATATTACATTTTCATACTGTTCGCGGCCAATGGGTCATGGATGACCCATTTACTTGTAAGCACTTCTCAGAAAATTCGTACGTCATAAGAACAGCCCGTTCTATTTGCTTGCAAAGGCAACAGTCTACTAAACATTAATCGACAATAACATGTTTCTGAAAAGTTCTTGAAAAAAAAATAAAAGCCGAGAAAAATTTTTTTTCAACTTTTCAATTTTTTTGAAAATTTTTTATTTTCTGATTGAGATATCTTCACGAAAAGTTGATGGAAAAGAAAATCGTTTTTTATCAATCGATAGCTTATGGAATTATCTTGCTCTTAAAAGCAATCCATTTTTTCTCACATGCTTCATTATCTTTTTATAACAATTCTACGAATGGGTCATGGGTGACCCCGGGGTAGGTAAAGGGTTAATGATTAGTCATAGCGCGCAGACTCTAGTTATAATAAAAAATTTGCACGTGAATGAGAAAAGCGATTATTTCTTTGACAATACAGAACAAACCTATTCTTACCCTAGTGCTCCGGTGATGAAAATCAGGGAAGATAATAAAATTTCTAGTGATTCACTGGTGACTCTCCAGGGATTTCTCAGGGAGAAAGTACAACATATTCACCGTGTTGATTTGCGTCTGCAGAAGTATATAAAAAATTTAACCAGAAACATCTCTTTTTTTAGATTAATTTCGAGGAGTCGACTTCAGCATTTATTCGTTTTTGGGAACTCGCTGAGAAATCCCTAATGACACCGTCTAAACTTCAGCTCAGGGATCCGTTAGGCGATTTCTTGGGAATTTCTCCAGAGAAAATGGACTTGGGTAGTTTCAGACAAATTTGCGTCAGAAATTACACAGTTGTTCAAGCTTCTTTTGCATATGAATCAAGATAGTTTATCGATCAAAATAAGTAAAAGTGACAGTTTAAAAGAAAGATTAGGCAATGCCTAGTTCATAAGAATATCTTTTACGTCTAATTTAAAGCACAAACTTATGCGGTTTCTCTTGTCTTTTAAAAGTCTCTTACATGATTAGAGACAAAGTTTTCGAGAAAAGAAGACCAATAGAAAATATTCTGTCTAATCGAGATCAAAATAGGCTTTGCTGATTGCTTGGATAAAATCCTTTATAATTAGATATTATTAGAATGTTGTGACTAGGATACATAAATAGTTCTGTCCTATGCCATACTAATTCTTAGATTCGAATAAAAGATCGATCTGAGTTACAGATATATCATTTTTGTTAAAAATATCTTCTCTTAGAGTATGTACTTGTAAAAATTTAAAGTGAGAATAACTTTAGACCGTTACATTTTAAGAAAAAACAAATATATTTTTTTCATTTAGTTTTTTTATGCTTATTTGATGAAATAAGTGCTCTAGCATACTAAATGCTCTTCTTGAAGCTTTTAAGTTCAACAAGTTTAAGTTAATTTCAAAGTTTAAGAGTTAACAAAAGATAATTTTTTAGACTGAATGCGTTGTTTAATGGCTTTAGAGAATGAATCCATTCATAACAAGACACAAAATTGTATACGTAAAGACAGTTTAATACTGGTCCAAAGTGTTTTTCTTTCAACTAGATTCATGATCGTTTTGACTTCGCATATAATCGAACGCGACCACACACACATATTACTCATAAAATGCGAAGAGCATCGAACTGAGCATATTTTGTTTAAAACCGGCCATTTGTCATGAAACTACTGTTCCGATATGTATAATATCATTTGATAACTTTTCAAAATTCGAACTGTTATTAATCAACTTTTTAATTTATTTACCATTTTCAATATTTTTCGATATTTGTTTCATTGGTTCTTTTTGTTCAAAAAATATTAGTATCAATGTGATTAAAGACCTCTTACAACCGCCACAATCGAATGTATGCGCAGAGCAGCTTCACTCAACGTCAAATTCGAAAAAGAAATATTAAAACCACCAACAGCTTCTAGAAGAAAACCAAGTGTCCATATTATGGCCAGCTCGTAACAACAAAAACGAAAATTAGAAAAATTATCGTAGATCCAATCGTATACTTGTGAAATATATTTTTCAGATTGAATAGGTTTGGCATCATTTTTTGTAAAATCCACTTCTAATGGCTGTTCAGTTCTAATCTGGCTCTTTCCCACTGATAACAGTTCGACATAGAAATAGAAGATGATTAGTTTTAATCTGAATTGTTTAATTTTGATCGATATGGGTGTAAGAATAAAAGCTATGAATAACACAATTGCAACACACAGTCTTTTAAGAATTCTCGTTCGTGGATGATGTGTGAGTCTAGGAATGCACCAAATCCTGCGACTATGTCTCAAAGGTTGCATATTTCTGATATTTAAAACCCTAATCTTTAGCAAACTTTTGTGTCAGACATAACCAGTTTTATCTGTTCTATCCGAAACTAGTGTTGAATTTTATCAAATTTTAAAATAAGTCGCTGGATTTGGTTAGGCTTGGTGAAAACTACTCTTTTTCTTCATTTTTCACCAAACCCTACCAAATCCAGCGACTTATTTTTAAATTTGATAAAATTCAACACTAGTTTCGGATAGAACAGATAAAACTGGTTATGTCTAACACAAAAGTTTGCTAAAGTTTAGGGTTTTAAATATCAAAAATATGCAACCTTTGAGACATAGTCGCAGAATTTGATGCATCCCTATGTGTGACAACTGTGATAATTGCGGAATAACTAGTTCTGAGATAACAACGAAACCAATAGCTTCAAATGTATGTGCCCAAGAACTTTGATCATAATCATGATTAGTGATGGACAGACTGCTAAAAACAGCGCGTAAGTGGAGGCAATCTAAAGACGAAGAAGAAAATAGAGCAAAAGTGGTAATAAAATATCCATAATAAGTGTAAGAATGAGATTTGATAAATGTCGTTTAAAAATGTGTCATGCTGAAAGATGTTTGATTTCTTGCTGTTGATCAGTAATAAAACTATAATTAGTACGAGTACCATGTGTGAACTACGTGCTATTACTATCCTTTTCTGTGGTCATAATTTCTTCTTATTGTTGTCTGTTAAAGTAACGAAACGTTGGACTGGTGTTGAAATATTTTTTTTCTACCTTCATTTATATATACAGCAATTTTAGACACGCATTGCAAAACAATGTGTTAGACAATTAAGAAAGATAATATTTTTACATATATGTTTCAATAAATCAATAAATGCATATTCTCTTCAATGTAACTTGCGCCCAGATAACTTTATTAATATCGGGCAATTAGTTTAAACCAGAATATATTTTTCTTGCTTCTACCATATCTAAAGAATACTGTTTATAGGAGATTTTTTCGATTAGAACAATTTTTGAAGTTCGTTTCCTAGATTCGATCTGTCGACCTTTCATGCACTGCACTTCTTCAACAACGTATTTTCCCATTGCACTAAACTGTGCAAAAGGAAACTACGGGTTATGATAATACATTCGTATGAAGACCGTTTACTTACGTATATATTTAAATAGTCTTTACAAGTGATCACTCACATGTTACTAGGTATACTATACATAAATGGCGACCGTATTTTAACGTCGACA